TTTTTTAAAAAAAATAAAACAGAGAGAGAAAATACTAAGGCCCGTTTGAGTTTTTCACGGTGCTGACCAAACAACTTGCAAGCAAGGTTTTTCACTTCTTTGTCTCTAGGTCGAGAACAAGCGTGCTAGGATATAGAAAATGGATCTTCGGCAATAGTCTTACAGAATAAATCCTGCTGAAGACATTTAATCCTTATTACAGCATCAGAGTCCAGGCTTATAGCCCAATCCTGTATTTATTACGAAGTAAAATCTGCTAGATTCTGTTATGCTTCCCCGCCAATTAAGCGTGCATAGATCTGCTGACTTCGGTTGCAATCTGAAACATTTTTACCAGGAAGTAAACACCGGGAGAATTCAGCCGTGTGCATTTTCGGATTAAACCAACATAGCGTGGGGTTTCAAATTGAAAAGTCGCTGCTTCAAAATGTGCCTCTGGTGTACGTTCAATAGCAAACATTCGGTATTATGTTCTTATAAAATGCTTAACCAAGACTGTTATGGATAGGGTGGCTGCATTCTCACAAAAGCTTAGTTAGATTTTTTGGGGGGGGGGGTTAATATATTGTGAAGTCAACTTGCCCTGATACTCTGTGAGGGCATTGTGCAGATGGATTAATTCCTTAACCAGGGTAAGATATTAAATGAATATAGTTTACATCCTCCCCAGAATGTCACCCTCATTGCCTTTGGCAGATCTAAACGATGATAAGCTATATATAAAAGATGTTGAGACTCTAGAAAGAGTACAGAGAAGAGCAACAAAGATGATTAGGGGACTGGAGGCTAAGACATATAAGGAACGGCTGCTGGAATTGGGTATGTCTAGTTTAATGAAGAGAAGGACGAGGGGGGACATGATAGCAGTGTTCCAATATCTCAGGGGCTGCCACAAAGAAGAGGGAGTCAAGCTATTCTCCAAGGCACCTGAAGGCAGGACAAGAAGCAATGGATGGAAACTAATCAAGGAGAGAAGCAACCTAGAACTAAGGAGAAACTTCCTGACAGTTAGAACAATTAACCAGTGGAACAACCTGCCTCCAGAAGCGGTGAATGCTCCAACACTGGAAGTTTTTAAGAAACTGGACAGCCATTTGTCTGAAATGATATAGGATTACCTGCCTGAGCAGGGGGTTGGACTAGATGACCTCCAAGGTCCCTTCCAACTTTATTATTATTATTATTATTATTATTATTATTATTATTATTATTATTATTATTATTATTATTATTATTATTATTATTATTATACGGCCTCGTGTCATTTAAATATTGAGCACTTCCTGCTTAAGACGAGACAACAACATTCCAAATCTATTTTAAAACATTTAAAAGAAAAAAAATCTGGAACTTATTTATATTCTACTTTCACTCATTCAAACACACAACCCAATGAATTGGAAGCGATTAAAATTAATTAACAACAAATATCAAGGAATAAACAAAACATCCCAGCTTGGCGCAAAAGTAAGTTTGAATATTAAAAGTCTGATTCAGGGGTCTTCAAACTTGGCCCATTTATGACTTGTGGACTTCAACTCCCAGAATTCCTCAGCCAGCATACCTGGTTTAGAGGCATACCATTTCTGATACCATCTTTGATACCTTAAGTAGCTATCTTGACTAGAAGCTATTGACAGTCATCTCTACAAATCATGCATCTTGGGTATGTCTAGTTTAATGAAGAGAAAGACGAGGGGGGACATGATAGCAGTGTTCCAGTATCTCAGGGGCTGCCACAAAGAAAAGGGAGTCAAGCTATTCTCCAAGGCGCCTGAAGGCAGGACAAGAAGCAACGGATGGAAACTGACCAAAGAGAGAAGCAACCTAGAACTAAGGAGAAACTTCCTGACAGTGAGAACAATTAACCAGTGGAACAACCTGCCTCCGGATGTTGTGAGTGATCCGTCACTGGAGGTTTTTAAAGAAGAGACTGTACAAGAGCCACTTATCTGGATGATAATAGGGTCTTCTGCTTGGGCCCGGGGTTGGATTAGAAGACCCCCAAAGTCCCTTCCAACTATGTTATTCTGAAACTTCTGAAATCTCAGTTGCCATTACTGTGCCTCATTGTTGTAAATTCCATCGTTTGGTTTCATTTTTATGCAAAGAAAATTGCCCTTTGGTCTGTTCCCATTCTCCCACCTTAGTCTGGGGGGTAGAACACAGAGATTTTGTGGGAAATCCCTGAGACAGTTGATATTCTGAAGAAATAGCATAAGGGAGGGGGAGAGGAGAATGTAGATAAGCATGGTGAGGTCAAGCAGAAGAATCTTCTTGAAGGGCAAGAGAAACTCTTTGACCAACAGACAAACATGCCAATACCTACTGCAAAAAAAAAAAAAAAAAAAAAAAAAAAACAGTTCTGAAGCTTAAACCACGATGGCAGTATTTTAGCCCACGAAGACAGATATCTAGGCAACCCAGATGAATGCCATTTTACCAACGTTACCACAATGGATCCAGAGTAGGGTGTTTTCCCCCTAGAATTAAATAGACATGCCGCAGACCCATCTCCTGATTACTGAATGAACCCATTTTATGGATATAGATACAGCACTGATCCTTGAGCAGCCTAGGTCTGCAGAAGCCACTAACTCTCATCCTTCTCCAGGTTAAAATTAACCTTGCACTGTAAGCCTGGTGGATTTTGAAGAACGATGTGCGATGTGCGTATGCTTGCATACCAAAATAAGCAGGCAAGCTTGGCATGTTTTTGTAGACGCAGCTTGATTAACCTTATCATGTGAAGGTTGCCATCGATGACCAATAAATAAACCAAGGTATGAAAACAATCCGTGCCTTTTCCTGGATCAACCACTGAATATCCAGAAAGGAAAATTCTCTGGGTTTGGATCTTTTGAGCAGGCTGCAAAGGGCATGTGTACCAATGAATCCATGAGAGAAGAAAAACTGATGGGAGGGTTTGTTTGTTTGTTTTCCCCCTTTCAAATGAGGAACATTGAGGGAGGGCAAGGAGGAGACCCTTGTATATGATTGCTGTTGAGTTTGATCAAGTTATGATTACCAAGATCACCATCTTTCTCTTTTACATAAAACCTGCTTCTCTATTAAAAATCTTGCACACTTTCAGCTTTTCCGTTCATCCTAAGAAGCTGTCCTCTGAAAGCATAAATTCTTTAAGCCCTCTTTGCTGCCCACCCACCCCCACCCCAGTTTTGGAATTCCATCCCTAAGAAGAGATTTGTTCAGCAAATCAATTCCCCCCCCCCCGTTTTTAATGCCAAATGAAGATCTCTGGGTCTATGGCCGATTTTTGTTATTGTTCTGTTACGTATTAATTGCATAAGGATTGTCCAATCTGCGTGTATGTTGGGGTTCTTGATTCTTTCTGCAAGCGGTGCTAAGAAGGCTGGGTGAGTTTGAAGAATGGGATATTAAAGTGTAAGTAAATACTCCTATACGGTATACCAAACATATAAGGAACGGTTGCTAGAATTGGGTATGTCTAGTTTAACGAAGAGAAGGACGAGGGGGGACATGATAGCCGTGTTCCAGTATCTCAGGGGCTGCCACAAAGAAGAGGGAGTCAAGCTGTTCTCCAAAGCACCTGAAGGCAGGACAAGAAGCAATGGGTGGAAACTAATTAAGGAGAGAAGCAACCTAGAACTAAGGAGAAACTTCCTGACAGTGAGAACAATTAACCAGTGGAACAACCTGCCTCCAGAAGTGGTGAATGCTCCAACACTGGAAGTTTTTAAGAAGAGACTGGACAGCCATTTGTCCGAAATGGTGTAGGGTTTCCTGCCTGAGCAGGGGGTTGGACTAGCTGACCTCCAAGGTCCCTTCCAACTTTACTACTATTACTATTACCATATGCAATTATCTACATTACAGGTTTCCTTCTTCACCTTCCAGGCAAACTTTCTGCAATTGCTTCTAGGACTCTACCATGCTCATTCTACACTCTTCAACAGCGTAGAGTTACTCCAAGTAACTCAGAGGTGACTCCTGAGAGAAAGGAACCACTCATTCTCAATTCCAAAGCAGCCAGAGAAGGAGGCTGGTGTCTAACCAGTATATGAGGGAGACTCCAGTAAGGAATTGTATATAATACTTCCAATTGGCATGGAACAGCTACTCTCTTCGCCAGACCGTGCCAGAGTTAGAGGAGACCCTTCTGGGAAGTTTACTCATAACATACACACCTCTTGCAAAGCCAGCCTCTTCTTTTGCATGCCATTATTTTCACTTGCCCTGCTGGGCTGGGAGAAGAATCTGCCACGGTCCACTCAACTCTCACGTGCACAAAATGCCCACTCTAAAGCTAGGACCTCAACTCAGCTCAGGAGTACGGTTCAAGGCCTCGCTTCTTCCTTTCTTTTTTTGCACCCCGGAGTAGAAAATACAATTTGCGAATCTGGTTAATCGGCTGGGGTTCTCTGCCCCACCCCCCACTCCTGTTGCCTTTTTCTGCTTCTGGGCTGGCAATTGATATTGGGGCGACGTGGGGGGGGGGCGGGAGAGACTGAAGGTCTGCTAAGGAGAACGGTTCCTTGGCAACGGCGAGTCTGCCCTCGCATGCTAATTGCGCCGGGCTTCGGCCGTAGTTGGCGACGCCGGGCGAGGCGGGAGGGCGGAGAGCGAGAAAGCGAAGGAAGGAGAACACAACCTGCGAACTGCTGGAGAGCTGTGGGGCCAGGCAGTCCCGCGAAAGCCAACTGTGCAACTGTCACTGACCAGGAGGACCTGCCACGCCAGCAGGAAGCAGGAAACCTACATGAGCTCGGCTGAGCGCATCCCGCCCACACACACAAACACAAACACACAGACACACACACATAAAGATTCCCCCCCCCCTCAGGTCGTTCAGGTTCCTTGCTACCACCTCCTCCTCCCCCCCACCCCACCCCCATCCTCCAGGGAGCATCCAGCATCTTCACCCCGTCCAAGAGGTGCCTGGTCCTGGTCCACGGGAAATGCATCCGCCTTCCTCCCCACCCACCCCCCACTTTCCACAACAATGAAGACGGTCTTACCGATGGGGGTTTTGGAGCCAATACAGCCCATAATCGACGGGGGCAATTTAGGATGGCGGTAAGCCGTTGCTCCAGACCGCAGACATTGCCACAATCCCTCATGGGCCGGCAACTGGTAGGCGAACCGGGAGCCGGCGGATGAGCAGAGGAGTCCCTCTTCCTGGGGTTGAGCTGGCGGTTGCCGCGAATGCCGGAGAGGTAGGTTGGGAAAACACAGGAGCGCGCGCGGGCGCGCGCACTTTCACAAACACACACACACACAACCGCCAGCCTCCAGGAAGCGGGCGGGCTGGCTGGCTGTCTCCTCCCCGCTTCGGTTTCTGCCCCCCCCCCACCTCGCCAAGCTGGCGTCTCGGGGACTTGGGGGCTGAGCCGCCTGCACGTTCGCCCACGTCACTGCTGCTAGCGCGAGTGGCGGGGTGGGGTGGGGTGGGAGGGAGGAGGGAGGGAGGGAGGGAGGAGAGGCGGGTTGGTTGACAGCCGAAACGGCGCGCTTCGCTTCAGCACCTCGGACAGCGGCGAGCGCGCGTGTCGGTTTGCTTTCAGCACCTTGGACAGCGCCGCTGGCCCTGCAAACCGCGCGGTGGGATTGCCCGGTTCGTGAGCAAATTCTGCTTTGTGTGAGTGACGGCTCGGATGCGGTTGGGAAAAGCTTAGCCGAGCCTCAGCTCTGAGTGCCGTGGCTCCCGCAAGTGGCTTTGAAAGGCTTTGATCCTCCCTCCCACCCTCCCCCACTCGTATCTTCTGCTCTGCCGCTCCCCGATTCATTCCTCAGCTTAATGAAACTGAGCTAAGGACCCTAGAGGGGAAGGCGCTAGTCCCCAGGAAGACATTAGAGCTGTGCAACAGACATAGCAACCTTTCCCTCCAACGGATCTCTTTCTTTTTCTGACGTTCTTTCTCCAAAGCCCACGGCTGGCTTTTGAGGGTTTTTTTCCCCGAGGCGTCTAGAACTCCCGTGTCAAGTGGAGACAAGACCTGTTATTGCAGTTCATAACAACACATGTTTTCATGACTCCTAAAGTAGGAAATGCTGCATGGGGTTGTGTAGGATGTAGCACACGTTCCTCTTGTGGTGGCTTTTTACTTATTTATACCAGCTAGTAATTGGGCTGGAAAGTCATCCCCATTCTCTTCTCCTCACTCCCACATCTTATGCAACACTTGAATCAATTTATCAGAAGCTGCCAATCCAGGCACAGCGACACTCCACTCCTTTCTAATAATATTACCGAGAGCGACAAGACATATACCGAAGGCCTAAAGATCAAATCCAATGAGTAAAAGCTGGAAGAGCTTTTGTTGCCTGGAGGAGAAATTACTAGGACATGGTATGCCACTTGAAGGACTGTGCAACGTTTGCTATAATTCTACAAAAGGTTAGCAACCAGACTAATTGGTTCAAAATATGACTGTCTTCACATAGCATGGTGGCTAATGACTAACCGAATTATCGTGTGTTTAGTTCAGTTTCCTAGGTTCGCGTAACAACGGAATGATAAATCAATCCGCAGTTAGGTTTGCCTCACACAGTCAACTAAGATGTGGTTTAGGGTACTGCGCATTCTCAAAGTTTCAACAAAGATGTTGTCTAAAAGATTCGTTGTTGTTGTTAGTTGCAAAGTCGTGTCCGACCCATCATGACCCCATAGACAACATTCCTCCTGTCCTCTACCATCTTCTGGAGTCCATTTAAGCTCACGCCTACAGCTTCAGTGACTCCATCCAGCCACCTTATTCTGTCATCCCCTTCTTCTACTGCCCTTAATCTTTCCCAGCATCAGGCTCTTCTCCAGTGAGTCCTTCCTTCTCATTAGGTGGCCAAAGTATTTGAGTTTCAACTTCAGAATCTGGCCTTCTAAAGAGCAGTCAGGGTTGATCTCCTCTAGGACTGACCAGTTTGATCACCTTGCAGTCCAGGGAACTCACAGGAGTCTTCAATAAAGGAGAATATTTGTAGTTCGGCGTTGAAATGAGGGATCCTTGGTGCTCTCTGAGTTTGGTTGTTTTCTTGCAGATGTTTCATTACCCAAACTAGGTAACATCATCCATCAACATAACACTGATGACGTTATCTAGTTTGGGTAATGAAATGTCTGCAAGAAAACAGCCAAGCTCAGAGAGCACCAAGGACCCCTCAAAAGTTAGGTAGAACACTATTATGGTGTTCTACAGCAGGGTTCTTCAAACTTGGCCCTTTTATGACTTGTGGACTTCAACTCCCAGAATTCCTCAGCCAGGCACACTGGCTGAGGAATTCTGGGAGTTGAAGTCCACAAGTCATAAAAGGGCCAAGTTTGAAGAGCCCTGCCTTGCAGTTTGAGAAACTAGTGAATGCACCTTTAGTAGAGGTGTTTAAGCAGACCACTTTTCAGGGATGGTTTTTCTTTTTTCATTACACGAGTAATGGTCTCTCATGAACTATGTGACTTTTGTGTTCATGTTAAACTTCCAGATCCTCTGAAAAGAAAGGGAAGGGACTCTGTAATTGAGATCTCAGATTCCAGAGAAATTCAGCAAGAAATTGCTGGAATTGGGTATGTCTAGTTTAATGAAAAGAAAGAGTGACATGATAGCAGTCTTCCAGTACCTCAGTGGCTACCACAAAGAAGAGGGAGTCAAGCTATTCTCCAAAACACCTGAAGGCAGGACAAGAAGCAACGGATGGAAACTAACCAAAGAGAGAAGCAATCTAGAACTAAGGAGAAACTTCCTGACAGTCAGAACAATTAACCAGTGGAACAACCTCCCTCCAGAAGCGGTGAATGCTCCAACACTGGAGGTTTTTAAGAAGAGACTGGACAGCCATTTGTCTGAAATAGTATAGGCTTTCCTGCCTGAGCAGGGGGTTGGACTAGAAGACTTCCAAGGTGCCTGCCAACTCTCTTATTCTATTCTATTTGTACTGAAAATGAGGACAGGCAAGAAATCACCACACTTTTGGGGCAGCTCACATTAATTTCTTTTTCTGTGACACAAAGCAGAGGAAGTATTGTGCCCATTGCATTGCTCACAAATCTAAATCCCCATTATTGCCAGAAGGGCATATAGGCCAAGGGCGTTTCCACTATCATAATTTCTGAAGTTACATTTTTCCAATTACTTGGCAGAGAAGGCAATGAAGAGGAGGATATTTAGACCACGCTGGCTCTTAAAATAGAGGGTAAAGATAGTTTCAAACCTGTTCAGTAGGATGAGAAAGGGTTTCCAAAGCAACCGACTGATGAAATCTTCTGTGGAAGAGCTTTAGCGTTTTCAAAAGTTTGGGAAAGGCTACGCTTTGAATCCCAGGCCTGCTATTAGTCAGCAACCTAAAGGGAGTGTTTATACACAGGTCAATGGCTGCATTTTCAAAGCTTGCTACGTTTCCCGTGTCTTCTCGTCTTTTCTACTACCTTCTCCTATTAGTGTCCTATGATTATATTACCTGTTTTTTGTATGTCTGTATGTACACTGATTATATTACCTTGTTATTTGTATGTACATTGAAAGCTTCTGCCTCAGAGACAAATCCCTTGTGCGTCTAATCACACTTGGTCAATAAAGAATATCCTATTCTATTCTATTCTATCCTATTCTATTCTTATTCCTACTATTCTATTCTTATCCATTCTACTCTACTCTACTCTACTCTACTCTACTCTACTCTATGCTACTCTACTCTACTCTACTCTACTCTACTCTACTCTATTCTATTCTATTCTATTCTATTCTTATTCCTACTATTCTATTCTTATTCATTCTATTCTATTCTATTCTATTCTATTCTATTCTACTCTACTCTATTCTACTTTACTCTTCTGTTCTGTTCAGTTCTATTCTATTCTTTCTCTAACCATCTGATCCTCTGCCGTCCCTTTCTCCTTTTGCCTTCCATCTTTCCCAACAACTCTTTTCCAATGAGTTCTCTCTTCTCATTAGGTGGCCAAAATATTTAAGCTTCAATATCTGTCCTTCCAAAGAACAATTTCCATACTTCCCAGCTTTTGCCAGACCCAGGTCCTCCATTCCTTCCACCCAGCGTCGGTTCTTCATAGTTTTACATAGGTCCTCTCTGCTTTCAAATTCTTCAAAGTCTTCTGTCAACCCAAGGAAGCTTTTTTCCTGGACTTTAATCTCTGCTGAGCTGGTTGTAGGTGATAGAGAGGGTGTTGTCTAGGTGCAGATGGGTTTTTTTTATTGCCTTCAAGTACTGTAAGCTCTATATAGAAGGCAGGGCAGAATTGTTCTGTTGTTCCAAAGACAGGGCAAGAAACAATTGGTTTAATTTACCAAGTAGTTTTTTGTCAGCCATCAAGGAAAAAAAATGCTAATGCTCATTGGGTTTTTTTCCAGTTGGCACTTTTCCTTCAGGCTTAAACTGTCATCCACAAAGAATCAGGACCATACGTTAAGTTCCATTTAAATTGATTTATGCTCAAGCCTATATGTAAAATTCTAGTCAACTAATGGTCAGTACTTAAGATAAGAGTCAATGGAATTTCGGGAGGGGGACTGGATTTGGAGCATTTGTGGATACTTAATGATTCTATACTGAGTCCTCTCTTGACTCCACCCCCAGACTCTGCCTCTTCTCCCACATAATCTCAATCATGACTTTATTTATATTGTGTTCAGTTGTCTTTGAACATGCATTTAGCTGTTCCCTAATAAACACTTTTTTAGAATACAGCTTATTTTGTTGAAAAATTCTGCAGATTTGGTACTTTTCTTGTTGCATTCTTGTTAATGTATTACTCTGGCCAAGAGAAGAACACAAGAAGAAAAGAAAGTTGATGTACATCTCGAAATTCAAATGAAAAGATGGTGATCTTCATTTGCCATCTGCCACAATTGGGATTTATCGAATTTCACTTCTGTTGACAAGGACCAAAACTACAGTATAAACCCATCCCCGGAGAATAAGAAATGGAAATTGGCCAATAAATACTCAGAGGTCTGGATCTAATTTTAACACTTGGTTCCAGGCACATAATCTGGATATTCTTTGCAAATAATCTGAATGTGGTATTCAGGTGGGATTTGGAGGTGAGATGGAGGCCTATGTATTGACAAATTCAGCTGAGGCAGTCCAGAATGTGTGTCACTGATTCCTTCTCTGCTTTTCATATCTCTATTCTACATGTACAAGGAGTTTTATATCATAGCTTCAGGAATATACTGCAGTAGTGAACTGCCAATTATCAACTAAAAGAACTGAATGTAAATGTCTATGGAGATTCTCAATTATCCAAGTCATGATTGTCCCAAATGAAAGGGACAACTTGCTGCACCCAACTCACCATGGCCAATTCACCACGGCCAACTCACCATGGCCAATTCACCATGGCCAGCTCACCAT